GGAAACAACATTTATCATCCATGAGGTGTGCATTAAGAGTATTTATGGCCGGGTGCGGTGACTCAAGCCTGTAATCCCAGCCCTTTGGGAGGCCGAGACAGGCGGATCACGAGGTCAGGAGATCGAGACCATCCTGGCTAACACGGTGAAACCCCGTCTCTACTAAAAAATACAAAAAACTAACCAGGCGAGGTGGCGGGCGCCTGTAGTCCCAGCTACTTGGGAGGCTAAGGCAGGAGAATGGCGTAAACCCGGGAGGCGGAGCTTGCAGTGAGCTGATATCCGGCCACTGCACTCCAGCCTGGGCGACAGAGCAAGACTCCGTCTCAAAAAAAAAAAAAAAAAAAGAGTATTTATGACCCTAGCATGGGCTTGATAGCATAACAACAGGGTGTGTGAAGGATCAATGACCTGGGGCCATTTAGCCGTGGGTATTATGGTGACAGTGTTTTCTCTTGCATTATACTTTCAGGTGTTTGTAGATCCCTATTTCTGCTGCCTCAATTTGTAGCTTAAACCTTCTTCTGCAGCGTGAATGTTTTTCCCAGTTTTACGCTTCATTAGGCCTCCAGTGGGAATAGAGTCTGAGCTGAACATCTGGCCCCAGCTGTGCTGAGCCCTCAGGTGGCCATGCTGCTGCCCAGCTGTCCAGTGCCTGGGTTCCAACAGGGGGGGTTCCCTCCTGTAGATAGGAGCTTTGTCTTTAAGCAAACTTCCCAGCTGTGGAAACTCTGGCACCACTTTAAAGATCAATGCATTCATTGGCAAGGGATGGGAAAGGCAAACTCCTCTACACAAGGATTAAGTCTTATACCAGAAGCCAATTGTCCTCAGCCCCTGCAGTGAGGTTATCTCCTAAAGAACATTCAGGCTGTTTCCCAGTAGTGCCTGTGCTGGCGGCACCCAACACGTTTTAGTTAGGAAGATCACATCCCATCTGGCCGGTCCACAGAGTTGTACCAAATTTAAATTTCTTCCATGTCTCTGTCATACACATGAACGCTCACACACACACACATACTTGTGTGAGAAGCACTCACACTGACTGTCTGATGGAAACAGTGTACACAGCTGATAAGCAGATCCTGGCAGCACAAGGCACTGAAGGACATTCCAGAACCCCAAGGGCTGGACAGGCCAGTGTCTGAAGCCAGAACATAAGCCCTGCTCACTTGTCCTTTCCTGCATCTGACTGGAAATGCTACAAACAGAAAGAAATATTGAGTGAAATTAATAACCTAATGAGGATCTTGCTTGTAAGTTTAATAGCAGCATTAGCAATGAAGCAGCATTTTATTGGGTTAACAGAAGTTAAGTGGCAATATTAGTAAAGTGGTCATTATAGATTTTCTTCCTTGCAGGCAGTGAACAGAACCTTCTGAAAGGATGGATTATTATAACTCCTCAGCATTCACTGTTTCTTAAAACAGGCCTTTCTGAAAGTGTATATATATATATACACACACACACATACACATATATACACATAAATTACCACTTTTTCCAGGGACCCCTGTTTGAGGCATGAGTGGAGAGGCTTCATCTTTAAAGAAGCCCTTACAGGGAACTCTGTCGGTTGTTTGAGGCTTGCTGCCAACAAACAATTGAGGTATTTACCAAGGGTTTCCAAGAAATTGCTGCAAATTATATGAAATGTTATACTGGTAACAGACGTTCAATGTATTAGCAACAGAAAAAAAAAATGTACAGTGTGTGGGAACAAAGTTGCAATCTGTGAGAAAATGTTCAGTAAGGTAGGTGGCGATGAATTTTAATGATGTGTCATAAAGAGTCACACTCATGAATACAGAAGGGAAGTGAAGTGATCTGGGACTTTTGAACAAATTTCTGAATACTGGTCTGGAATCACTATGGAGGACCCTTTAATGTGATCCAGCAGAAAGACTCATTTGGAGACAGAGCTGGACTCCCGGAGCCCCTCCAGGTGGAACTCACTCCACGCAGTGCTCAGACTCGGTCCCACACTCCTGATCCCTGATCCATCACAGCCCACCTCTTGGGCCAGTCCTGTGCCATTGGGAGTTTCATGGAATAACTACAGTTAAGGGCTTCCCTTACAAGTGTTCCTGGTAACAGTTAATACCTCCCCTTCTTTTATGTTGAGAAAAATGGTCCATGATTCATTCCCTCAACAGAGAAGGACGGTAGCACAGTGAAATCAAGAAACCCAGAATCATGAAAAGTCTTTCCTCAGCTCACTGCAGTGAAATCCCTATAAATGCAAATCACCCTACCTTCTCCTTACCTTTAAAAATAAATTAGGATGAGGTGGCTTTAGGATGAGGAGCAGCCTTGGCCCCCAGGGGGCTTCGGGGAAGGATGCATGTGTGTGCACTGGGGGCAGATATTCCAGACCCTCGTTGTCCTCCCTGGCTCCTTGCTGGTATTGACTAGTGGGGCTGGGCTTGGGACAGGCCTTCATACTGGGGGTACCAGTCCTATCCAGGTGTTTAGGCCTCTGGCTGTCACTGAAGTTCTTGATTCCAGGTATTTGCTACTGGCTGTGAAATCCCCACTTAGGATAGTCTCCTGAGCCAGGCCCCTTGCTGGGACACTTTTGGATTCCTCCCCAGGAGAACTGCCTCAGTTCAACAATCCAGCTGCTCCTTCCAGCTGTGCTAGAGCTTGCCTTCCTGCTCCCAGGCTGCATGCTGGAGTTGGTCCCTGCCCCTGGCCGACTTCTATAGGACCTCAGTTTCTCTCTTCTCCTTCCAACCCTCTCTTGGCCTGGCATATCCCTCTTCTCCCAGAGGGATTCCCTTATGTCTTACTCTCCTTCCCCAGGGAATTGTAAGCCTTCAGGCTCAGCCTTTACGAAGGGTATCCTTTCCACATTATGAAAGACCCCCACTGAGCCTGCAGGTGAGACAGGTGAGGCTGTCTAGGAACTGAGGGACAACTAGGAACCAGGATATTGAGGAGGACAAAATATTTGGCATCCTCAAAATATTATTCCCATCACACACACACACACACACATATATAGATATATATATATATATATTTTTTTGGAGACGGAGTTTCGCTCTTGTCGCTCAGGCTGGAGTGCCATGGCACAATCTCGGCTCACGGCAACGTCCGCCTCCTGGGTTCAAGTGATTCTTCTGCCTCAACCTCTCGAGTAGCTGGGATTACAGGCATGCACCACCACGCCCGGTTAATTTTGTGTTTTTAGTAGAGACAGGGTTTCTCCATGTTGGTCAGGCTGGTTTCGCACTCCTGACCTCAGGTGATCCACCCGCCTCAGCCTCCCAAAGTGCTGGGTTTACAGGCGTGAGCCACCGCGCCCGGCCAACTTTTCACTGGACGCTAGTTTAGAAGAAAACTAGGTTAGTCTAAAGCAGGTTAGAAAATATTGAAATCATTGAATATGCCACAAAATTGAACATCTGAATCTTGCCAGATTTGTGCTTCATGTAAATCACTGTGAATGACGGGGCTACTGCCGAATTTGGGGGATCTGGTGACTCCTCGGCATCTGTGGTTTATGGTCTTACTGGAAACCTCTTTCGATGGTTTTCGAGCCTGTAATTCATAGTTGTATGTTCTGTATTTTTCCCAAGACCACTGCTGGAATCCTGTATTCACTGCATAATGAGTATTTTATTTTTAGATGTGGATCACCTCTCAGAGAGGGAGTCTGTGGGAAGGTGGGTAATGAACTATTTTTAATATAAATCACAAGTGTCAAAGAAAGTGGTAATATCCAAAGAATAAACAAGAGTGACCACCATTCAGGTGCCGAGAAGTTATCTGAAGCTCCCACAGCTCGGCATTTTAAACTGTGTGATAGTATTTCAACCATTTGGTCAACAATGAAGACAGATCCAAGGATTGCCCCAGGCATGCTTACTTTCGGTCCTAACTCCTGTGTTTATTTGATTCAATGAAGGTAACTTCTTAGGCCCAGGGAAACACTTTGCCCTTCAAAAGTTTCATTAGAAAACCCCAATATACTGGTGACTAAGTAACAAGACTGAAACTCTACACAAACTTTTGTTGTATGGAGACCTCCGCTTTTGTTGCCTTAGCTGAAGTATTGTAGAGGAAATGTATAAAACTTAAAATCCAGGGTAGAGGATCTGGGACTCAAAATCCGTATTTAGAAATCAACGGCACTTTTACAGACAGGCCACATTAAAATACTGACGAAGTCCCAGGCTGGGGGTACCAGCCGGCTATCTGCCCACACAGTATGTAAATAAAAGTAGGGTTTACCATCCAGGGCATTAACATCATTTTCCATGTCTTCAACATCCATTAAATGCTAGTACTGTATGAGAAGCGTGGACCTTAAATATTAAAGATGGCTTTTTTTTTCTTCTTATTTAGCGTAGAAACTAGCGACAGGGAAGAAGGTAACTGAATTCACGGTCCACTCGCAGGCGCACACGTCCCCAGGGCTCCGGGACGGCCGTTCCCTGCGTGCGGCAGCGGCCGCGGGACTGCGGACAAAACTGCAGTGTGGTCGGGAGCGCGGGGCCAGGAGCGGGAGGCCGGCCCCGCGGCAGGAAGGGTGTGGCCGTAGGGTGCAACGAGGACGGTCTGTGCGGGACGAACGTGCGCAGCGTGGAGTCTGGGGGCCGAGAAGCCCCCGCTGCAAGGCTGGCTCCTGAGATTCGCGCCCCGGCGCCGCGGTGCAGGAACCGGCCGCCCCCGCGGGGACGCCCTAGCACCGGGTTCTGGGCGCGGATAACGGGCAGCTCCGGTCCCGCGGGCGCCGGGCCGGAGCCCACGCCCCCTCCGGCCGCCAGCTCCCGTCGCAGACCGCGCAGGCGGGGCGCCCAAGAGGGCTTTTTTTTTTTTTTTTTTTTGGTCAAACTTTGGCCACGTGAACCGCCCCTCATTCACTTTTGCGCCAATCGCGCGGCGCGGACGGATCCCGAGAGGGGCCACGGCTCGCCGCCGGCGGGGCCACTTCATAACGCGCTGTGCGTGACGTGAGGGGCTCCTGTGGCAATGGCGAGCTAAGCCGGAGGATGTGCAGCTGCGGCGGCGGCGCCGGCCACGAAGAGGACGGGGGCAGGCGCCGTGCGAACCGAGCCGAGCCAGCCGGGGGACGCGGGCAGGGCGAAACGGGGGCCCAGACTTGGCTGCCGCTGCCGTCGCCGTCGTACGCGGCCCCCTGCCCCGCCCGCGAGGGCAGCCGCACGAGGACTCGCCGGAACACGCCCCGCGCCCGCCAGCCCCGCCCCCGCACGGCCGCGACAAGGCCCGGGGCATGGTCCGCCTTCTTAAAAGAAGACGGCCAGGCGCCCCATGTCCGCGGGCGGGGGGGCGGGCGGAGTGCGGCACAACCAACACACCCGCACAGCCGCGGGGGCCCGTGGGCGAGGAGAGCTTGGCTCGGCCTCCTGGGGGGAGGAGCGAAGCCGAGCGGAGGTAGGTCCTCCGCGCGCGGCGGCGAGAGCCCCGGCGCGCGGCCCGCGGGCGCGGCTGCCGGGCCGGTGGCCTCGGCGGCTCGCGGAGGCGGGCTGGCCTCCGCGGGCGGGGGCGGCGGGCTGAGGGCGCGCGGAGCCTGCGGCGCGGCGGCCGGCGGGCGGAGCCGGGCGGCGGGCCATAGGGCCGCGCGCCCCGGCCCCGCCGGCCCCTGCGGCTCAGCAGGTGCTGGCGGGGGCCGGGTGGGCTCGAGTCTCGGCCATCCCCGTGAACAGCCCCTCCGGCGGCCTCGTCCTGCCCCGTGCTTCCGAGCTGAAGCGAGCGGGCCCACGGCGCCGCGCCAGCCCCGAGGGCTGCCGGTCCGGGCAGGCGGCGGCTTCCCAGGCCGGCGGGGCGCGCGGCGATGCGCGCGGGGCGCAGCTCTGGTCGCCCGGCTCGGACCCAGATGGCGGCCCGCGCGACAGGAACTTTCTCTTCGTGGGAGTTATGACCGCCCAGAAATACCTGCAGACCCGCGCCGTGGCCGCCTACAGGTGAGCCCCTGCTTCCCGGGCACCGCCTCCTGCGTCCGGCATCCTGTCGGCTGGCATCCCGGGTCCTCTCCTGGCTCTCGCGTTCGCCCGCTTCGTAGGCCCTTCCTGGCCTTCCGGTGGGATCGGCTTGCCTCTCGGGAGATGCCGGGCCGAGGGAGAAAAGATCAGAGGCGGGATGGTGAGCGCAGCGCTCAAGAACATGGCCTTTGGGGTCAAATAGACTAGTGTGGCCTCACTGGGTGTGCCTCTCACCCTGATTAAGGCACTTTAGCCTTTACAAATCGAAGCCTCTCGATAAAAGGGCCCGACATATCGGGTCTCCCTCATGATGTTGGAAAATTCATAGCACAGTACCTCATAGTGGAGGCAATTAGGGCTGTTATTGGATTCTCTAAAATGTGCACCTTTGTCTTTGTAAAACTAGAGCCCGTGTACATTAATCTGGTTCTAGAACCTTTCCATATCATACTCTCACATTTCGCAGTTGGAGGCACTCCTGTAAATGAAAGAGAATGCCCGCAGCACACTGGACCACTGCAGTCTGTTGAGTAAAGAGGGAGAGAACCTTGGAGAAAAGCAGTTCTTGGCCGTTGGTAGATACAGTGGAAAACTGCATTCTGGTGTTAATTAGTTCAGCTTAGTGGTGTATGCATGTTATCCAGTAACTGGGCTCTAGTTGGCCAAATGAGTCATAAAAGCAGCTGGAATCGTGTCCAGGTTTAACAAAGGGATTAGCCAATGTAGTCTTTAGAAGGGAGATGATTTTGGAATGGCTGGCATGGTTAGAATCAGATTTGTATTGGAGTGAATTTGAACTTGGAGAGGGTTGTAGACTCAATAAAGGAATTTGATTGAAACCCTGTATGTATGAAGTATAGAAACACCGTATGGATAAAGTTTGGGTCTTATTCAGCCACAGAACAAACCAATGTGGGGAGTGGTTTTAGAGCCTGAATGGTCTGGGAATGAAATTTCAGAGCAGCCAGTGCTGAGCCAGGCTAAGCTGGTTGCTGTTTGTTCTTATAACCAGTACCTTTACACTTCAGTTTTTAAATGCAGTCTTGGTCAGATTTTTCAAGCATTATATATTGTGAGGGGAAAAGCATATATAGTCCCCCTTGCCTTTAAGGGAGGAAGTAAAGGACTGAGAAAGAAGGTGAAAGCGGTTTTCAGTGACTGCCCCTTGAATGGCTTGATCCCCATTCCTGCACATTTCCTTTAGGGTCCTGCTTAAGTCCAGAGCCCACATTCCGCCAGGAAGGGTCCTGAGTGGCTGAAAAGCTTAGAATGCAGGTAGTGTAAAAACAGACTAATGCAGGCCGGGCGCTGTGGCTCACGTTTGTAATCCTAGCACTTTGGGAGTCCGAGGCGGGCGGATCACCTGAGGTCAGGAGTTCGACACCAGCCTGACCAATATCGTGAAACCCCGTCTCTACTCAAAATACAAAAATTAGCCAGGCATGGTGGCCTGCGCCTGTAGTCCCAGCCACTGTGGAGGCTGAGGCAGGAGAATCGCTTGAACCCAGGAGGCGGAGGTTGCAGTGAGCCAAGATCATGCCACTGCACTCCAACCTGGGCTACAGAGCGAGACTCCATCTCAAAAAAAAAAAAAAAAAATCTGTGTATCTATCTATCGATCGATAGATAGAGATACATGGGCTAATGCAGCGATTTGGGAACCAGCTGATCAGAATTCTCTCCTAGATCTACCTTGCATTACCTGAGGTTTTATGGGATTTTTTTTGACCGGAGAAACAGCCGCATCAGAAATCAAGGATGAGCCGCGTAAATTATTTACAGCATGGTTTTGAAAGTAAATCCGCATGACTCTAGTGTGGTGATAGACCATGTGAAATAACAATTTTGGGGACAGTTACCAAACTAGTTAGTACAAATAGTAAATTAGGTGACTCCCTTATCTCCCCCATGCCCCTGAGCAAATGCATTTTCATGTTTGCAGTATGAATATATTCAAATCAATGGGGGGCCTAATGCACCAGCAATACTCAGAAAATGTAATGCAGGCTGGGCGGGGTGGCTCACGCCTGTAATCCCAGCACTTTGGGAGGCTGAGGCGGGCGGATCACGAGGTCAGGAGATAGATACCATCCTGGCTAACACTAACACGGTGAAACCCGTCTCTACTAAAAATGCAAAAAAAAAAAAAAAAAAAAAATTAGCCGGGCTCGGTGGCAGGCGCCTGTAATCCCAGCTACTGGGGAAGCTGAGGCAGGAGAATAGCGTAAACCTGGGAGGCAGACCTTGCTGTGAGCCGACATTGCGCCACTGCCCTCCAGCCTAGGGGACAGAGCGAGACTGTCTCCAAAAAAGAAAGGTAATGCAAACTAAAACTACTGTTTCACACTTGGAGATGGTTTCCCAAACTCGAGCTACTCTAACTTTTGGCCTCCTTTCCACATCTCCTCCCTCATCTTTTTCTGGATGTAAGATTTAATTTGTTTTTTTTTTGTTTTTTTTGTTTTGTTTTGTTTTGTTTTTCAGGTAGTTAGGGGAAGCAGAAACACAGTTTGCCCCCAGGCCGGGTTCTCCCTTCATTGTGACACCTCTGCCTTTCTGAGAAAGGAAAACGCCTACCAGGAGGTAGTGTCCAGCTAGTGTCACTCCAGCTTTCTCACATAAATTTCCTTTTATCTCCCAGATCTTAAGAGGTCAGAGTACCTGGAGCCTGGAGGTGGACCTGCCCTGCCAGTTAGGGTCCTTTGCCTCTTGCCTGCCAACAGTGTGTTTAGACTGACTGCAGGAGTTGGCACAAGACGATTTTAGCCTTAAGGCTAAAAGTTAAGGAACTTTTGGGGAAGGCCTCAATTGGGATGGAGGTTATAGGGTATAACATATGATTACAGTTTTACTGTACTCTGCAGCCCAGGCCAAAAGTCTGCACTGAGCTCTTAAATTGGAAATTGCATGCACAGTTCAGTATAAAAGTAAGCTTGATTCTTCTAGCACAAGATAGAACTCTAGTTTGGAAATCGATGTGCTGAGTTTTACATTTCTCCTGAAAGGTAAATTCATTCTTTATCTTAGAGAAAACTCTAGTTTTGTTTTTTAAAAAAACAAAAGCAACTGTTGTTTGGCTTATGGATGAAGGAGATGCCAGCAATTTCAGTAAGATGATACTTTGGTGTAGAATACTGAAAATGTCAGAATTTAGGTCTAGGGACTAGTAGCTAGCAACCACTTCTTTCCAACAACTGTCTGACATCCAGAAAGGGGCTAAAAAAGCTTTTGAAAATCCAAGGAGATATGCCCGTCCACACTAAAGGCACTGCACTTTGATGATAGAACGTCTCCATCATTACACATTTTTACTTTCTAGACTTACCATCTGCTTGAGGGGTGGATGGGGGCCACCAAGATATAGCAGGGCAGTGACAGCTGACAGCAGGCAAGAAACAGATTTTTCACAGCAGGCAAGACAAAACTCAAAATGTAGCAGGTGAGAAACCAGCCAGACTGACCTTTGGAGGCCCTGAGTGACACCGTAGCTGTTAAGTTCATAAGAGTGATCCTGATTCATTACTTAGGATCCATTTCTTTGTAAAACACATGCATGCATGGCCCCTCTGGGCCCAGACCCTGAGTCCTGGGGGAGACTACGATACATGGCTTGCTCTCGTGTTCTTTAGTCAGAGGGACTACACTAAAAAGAGGGTTTCTGCTAGCGATGGATGCTGTAGAGAAAACAGAACAGGGTTGAGGCAGGGCACGTGTGTCCTCTCTGTGTTAGGTGATCGGGGAAGAGTTTGGAGAGAGTGGCATTTGGGCTGAGATCTGATCATGAAGAGCCAGTTGTGTGAATATCAATGATGAGCATCAAGGCCAAGGAAGCGCTGGGAAGTCCCAAGGCAGGGACCAGCTTGGAAAGGAACACCAAGAAGGCCAATAAAAGAAAGGGAAGGGGCTCACTAGTGTCCAGTCATTCTAAATGAATTAGAAAGCCACTGGAGGGTTTATGCAGGAAGAGGAGGTGGGTAGCTGGGGTTCTGTAAATTAACACAAATAATTTATTTTGACTCATCTGCAAATTATTCGTATTCTAGGTAATTTCGCTTTAAAATGGTACTGTAATTTCTCTGAAGTCATTTATTATGCGAATTAAGGACAGCTTGTCAGAACCTCTGGGTTTCTTGTGTCTTGCATTACTAGCTGCAATTCGTATTTTTCCCATATTTAAAAATTTTCTTCTTAGTTGTGTTCTGTGACATATGGAAGGGAAGTGTTTATGTAGTTCAGTCTATGTCTTTGCCTTTTTGATTTTAGTTTCCCCTACCCCAGGTTCACAGTTACTGCCCTGGAGAGATTTTTAAAGGTAACGTTTCCTTCCTAATTCTGGAAAGGGTAGAAATCATCTCAACTTTATTTTTTCCCCAAATAGTATGTGGTCGCAGCACCACGTATCGTTGACTAAGTTTTCATTTCCCTACCAATTTGAAATGCCATCTTCATCATACTCAGAATTCTTGGGTATGTTTCTGGACTTCATGTTTTGTTCCATTGATCTTTCTGTCTGTTCTTGTGCCAGTACCACCCATTGAAATTATTGGAGGTTGAATAATATTTTAATATCCGGTGGACAAGTTCTCCTTTGTTATTCATCTGCTTCAAACATTTCTTGGCTACACTTACCTTTTCTTGCTGAGAGAGTTTTCATGCTATTTAAATTCTTTTTAATCAATGTTTTGATAAAAAGAAAAAGCCACACGTATTTTGCTTATTTGTCCATTTTTATGCCCAGAACCTTGAGCTAATCCAACACCTTTTGTTTGTTTTGGTTCTTACCCTCTCTCGGCTGAAGATGGCGAATAGTTTTGTTCTTTTTTTATGTTGTCAGAAGAAAGAGGTGGATGGTTTCCTTTCTTTGCACCAAAATTGAACAAGGGCAGCATTAAAGATTAGCGTCAGTCTGTAGGGGACTGTGGGAAGAAAGTTTGAGAAGCATTACCTTGAGATATAGGAATCTTATTTCAAGATACTGTTAT